ATCCCAGACCCATGGTTTTAGTGATTACAGAATACTGTTTGCACATAGCTGCTCTTTTCCCTGCAGGAGACTGTAATCTTCTTGAAGATAATTTCTATTTTGTTCCTAATCACTAAATAAATAGCATCCAAATGCTTCTGCTTGCTATAATGTAGTTATTTTTCAAAGGAAAATATTTTTTTCTAAAATTTGTTTGTATAAATTACTTCAAGAATTTACAACACTGCACATGACTTGGAAGTAAAGGAGAGAAAACAATTAGCTCTATCCCTAGTCAAGGGCATATTTAAACTTTTGTTAAACTTAATTGTTCATTTAGTTAAGCCAGTAATGTCTGTTCTTTGGTATGATTTTATAAACAACTTCTGTAAATAGATTCTATTCACCTATTTCACAACAAGGATGCAAGAACAGCCAATGTTTATGCCAACGTATAAAATCAGATCTTCATTGAATCAACACTGACTATCCTTCACAGCATTAAGTAGAAGAGATGTTTTACAATTAGCCTGCTGTGGCACTGCAGAATGTGTACTCATTAGCCATAACATAGAATCTTACTTTAGTGCATAGAAATAGTTATTACAACTCAAAAGAAATATTGAACTTGGATTTGCCTTAGACAATATTTATCCCTCAAGTAAATAAATTTCAGTATTTGCCTGGGTAGAAGTCAATATGTATTTCACTAGAAGCCTAGGACATCTCATTTAATCATACAATGAATATCTGCATATTATCCAGTGAATAATACAACTCCATCAAAATTGTTAAAAATGCTTCCACTTCCAAAATCCTGACCATGTGTCAAAATAAATTCTCCGCTCTCTGTCTCCTCCTCCTTCCACACACATACTCACTCAGGAATATCAAGCTGGGGATGCAGGAAAAGATTGTGAAAAGTACATTTCTACATCAAAAACATTTGCTTTTCTCTGTTGTTTTTCAGAGTTTTTTTTTTTTTTTTCTGGTACCAGGAATTGAACTCACGACCTTGCGCTTGCCAGGCAGGTGCTGTGCTGCTGAGCTAAATCCCCAGCCCCTGTTTTTCTCTATTGTACACTTTCTTTTGTCCAGACTTTCAGTTTGATTCCTGGCTAAAGAAACAGGAATGTATCTTTGGAGAGTACAGTAGAAACTTAGCTTCTTGACAGTGAGCAGAATTTGCCCTTAGAAGAATCACTGTTGAGACAGAATTCCAGCACTCCATTATTTTAACCCAGTTTCTAGGGCAAGGAAGACAGAATCCCTCGTGTGAGATCGTTCAGGGCTTCACATGGGTGGCTGTACTGTCTTCCTTTAGGCAGCATTTTGTCTGACATGATGAGGAGATTTAGGCCCTATATCATCCATAAAAAATCCTATTTCCAGTAAAAATCCTGCAATTTTTATGCCAATGTTTGTATGTCTATTCTAGTACTAACTGCTTAGGGGAAAAAAGTAACACCATGCAGAAGGTTAGCTGTGCCCTGCTCTCATGCATGAGAATGCAGCAAAGCAAACAGATGAGTTTGGATAAATGAAAATCAATACACTTGAAAAGGCCTCTTTCATTCAATTGATTCAAGCTCAGTGGGCAATAGCACAGCAGAATGTGAAATGGTGTTAACGTGGTGCTGGCGTAAATCCCACTTACAGGCAATACAGTGACTAAAGGGGATAGAAGGATGAGGAGATTTAATGAACCACAATTAACTCTTTACCATGGAATTTTATAAATGCTTATAATATGGTCTTATCACCAACCTCTGAACCTTCAGTGTGGCAAGATGACCTTTATGGCACGTAAAAGTTTTTTCAAAATTTAAGATGTCAGCATAGCAGAGTATTAGTCTTACCTTTAGAGTTTAAAATGTTGCTGCGATTGGAATGGTATTCCTTTACAGAAAAAGAAAAGGGGGTCGCTAGAGACGTCATTTATTGCTCAGGATAGCACAGCAATTTGTTGGCTAAGAGTTTCCCCAGAACTCACACCGTTCACGGTCCACATCAGTTTGGGAGTGCGGGAATGACACGTATGCCCAGGCCTGCCAGGGTCAGAGGAGGCTGTGAGTGAGAAATGAGGCCACAAAAGCCCGCCAGTAGGTTACTAGGTTACAGTCTCTCACTAACGCTAGAACTTTTAGATATTCTGATAGAGGAAAAGACCCATGTTTTTTAAACCCAGATTTTGAAAATCCATCTTCCAAAAACTATCTCACACGTGTGCAGACGTAGGGTTAGATAAGGATGTTCATTCTGGTATTGGGCATGATAGCAAAGTTTATGAATAACATAAATGGCTATTCTTGGGGGAGCCTGTTAAATAATTACAGCACATTCATACAATAGATCACCGTGAGCCACTAACAAATAAAGTGAGGATATTAAATATGTAGAGAAATGGAAAGATGCCCGGGGTGTATTTTTAAATGTAAACAACCAATTCATAGACTAATCTGATGTACAGAATGATGCTATTTATATAAAACAATAAATATTTCTATGTGAGCTTCTGTGTGTCTGTCTTATACACCTCTCATACTATTCTCATCTTTCTATGATGTCATACTTCTGGATATAGGGACAAAGGAAAGCTTTGCAGAACAATTATTTCATTGGTTAATTAAATAATTAACCAATAATAATCAACTAATTAAATAATAACCTTAGGAAACTGGGAGAACATAGCTTTTTCTTTTTGTAAAACAGTCGTTACTAGGTACCACCATGCCCATGAGTATGGTCTTCAGAACAAGAAATAAATTTCACTCCCATGTCTACCTCTCACTAGCAATATGAACTTGGAAACTTCTCTTCACTTTCCTCGCCCCCATTTACTTTTCTGTAACAGGAAAGTGATGATACTCTTCTCAAATTTTTGACAGAAAGACTAAGCTAACTTTTTTGTAAGACACCAAGCACAGTAATTGGCAAACAGCTCCCAGTAAACGGTAGCTTGTAAAACTGTGGTTGTGTTTACAAAAATTAAAATGAAATTAAAAAGTACCTAGAAGTAAACATCAACTGAATTCAACCCCCTAAAATTTACCTCAGTTATTATTTGATGGTGTCTTTCCAGGAAGTGCTACAAATATGTGCACTTTAAAAACCAGTTACAAAAAAGCTGGGCATGATGGCACACACCTGGAAGAGGAGCATTCAGTGAGGCTGAGGTAGAAGGCTCCTAAGTTTGATTCCTGGGCAACTTAGCAGTTATCGAGCCCGTGTTTCAAAATAAAAACGGGGGGATAGAGATTTTGGAAATGTAGCTCAGGGCAAAGGCCTATGTTTAACCCTCAGAATTGAAAAAAAAAAAAACAGGATTATAATTATGTACCGTAATATATACTTGATTGACAATATTCTATAGGTTTTTCTCCATATCTGTGTAACAAAATGTCATTTTAATAGCTAAAATATATTCTTTTGGTCATCTATAGGCACCATAGCTTATTGAATTATCCTTTACTGGTGGCCATTCAAATTGGCTTTAACTTTTACCTACCACAAATTTTACAGCAATGAGCATCCCTTTGCAAATATTTTCTCGCATTTGTGCAATTAACTGGAGAAGGCAAATTTTAAGGGACAGAAGTGTTTGGATGGAATGGTGCTCCTCTTAGAAAAGACAATACGAGCAAGGTAATCTCAGCAGCTTGGTTGAAGATAACATTATGTAATATAACAACCACTGTTAATTCCGATCATTTTGTTTTGAAACACTGTATCATTTTTAGTGTTTTTGTGTTGTTTTGTTTTTGCCTATGTTGTTGTTCTTTTGTAACTTTTTTATTCTCTTTAAAATAAAAAAAAAGGACCGAGTGGAAGAAAAGTTCTCAAGGGAAAAAGGAAAAGTTTAGTTTTAGTGCACATCATGGAGTCTGGCAGTTCTTTCACAGGTCCTAGGGGAGTCACTGAAGTTTCTGAAAAAGGCAATAGCACGATCATAGATAGCTAGGCTTTAGGATGATTAGTCTGGAGGCTGTGGGGAGATTGAAAGCAAGGAGGCAGTGAGGAAAGAAGTGAGAGACTGGAGACTATTGCTGCAGTGCAGGGAGAAGTAATGAGACCTTCCGCGAGGGTGACAGCAGTGGAAATGGAGAGTGACAGATTCCAGCCGCCTGCGTCTGCCGAAGAGAGGGGAGGGGTTTCCCACTTACTGAAGGGCTCAGTCAGGAAAGAGGGGAGTGAGGGAAAGGCGGGTGGGGCTGGCTCTTCAGGGCAGTTTCCGTATCCTCAGCAATGCTGGTGCCTAGGGGAGGTGACAGGTGGTACCCCAGGCTGCGAAAAGTGACACACACCCCTGGTGATGACATTTCACATGGATTTAGACTGCTCTCCATATTTAGCTTCAAATTTAATTTTCTACAATGAACATGTTTTATCTTTGCCTGGAAAACTGTCATTATATATTTATACATTGTATCTATATAAATAAATTTTAAAAATCAAGATATATATAAAGTAAAAAGTAAAACAATAACCCACCTCTAGTTCCCATCAGACACGTTCAAGACAAAATTTTTGGAGTTTGCAATATTAAAACTATGAAAAGTTTGGAAAAGTGAAAATGTAAATATGAGGACACTCTAAAAAGCTATTGCTTGTGAATGCTATGTTTGAAGTCTTGTCCCTTGGAACTTGTGCATTGGAAAGTTAACCCCTCAAATTATATGCTAGCAGTATTTGAAGGTGGAACCTTTGGAAGTGATTGGATAATGGAAACTCAGCCTTTCAGAGTTGGTTAGTCCATTGATTTAACCCGTTCATTGATTAGAGGGCTAATGGATCCATGAAAGGATGAGTGTGTTATCAGGACAGTTGTCCTGCGATAAAGGCCTGTGTGGCTATTTCCCATGAATCCCTTCACCATGTGATGCCCTGTGGTGCCTCAGAACTCTGAGACACTGCAATTCCCAGTCTCCATGTTTGTAAAACATAAATTTGTTTTCTTTATTAATGACCCAGTCACAAGAATTCTTGTACAGTAGCAGTAAATAGATTAAGACAGCAATTTTATTTTCTTCAGCCACTTTTCAGTGGCAGTATTTTGCTTCCTCGAATAATGGCCTTGGCTGACTGGGGAACAGCAGCCCTCGCAGCAAATGGAATGCATAGGAGGAAGAGAAACACTGGAAAGAAGGTGAGCAACCAAGTGGCAGATAGAGTGGCTTTGAAGTCCTAGGTGGCTGGTTGGAGATGAAGGCGTGAAAAAGCAAAAAAAACAAAGAGATAATTTTAGCAGGTAAGTACACAGAGTGGACAGTTAAAAGTAAATGCACAATTCCAGTTGATAAAAAAGCCCATTAACCAAAAATCAGCTAATATTCATGGAGCCACACAACGTGCCCAGAAAAATTCTGACCTTTCATCATTAGGATTAGAGTTAGAGGCTACAAACCAGAAGAGTTGGCTTGGAATTTGCTGCTCCTCCCAAATGCGACAGAGCCCTCAACTTCTATGAACTTTGTGAAGGAGGTAAAGTTGTAAAGTGTTCATAAAATTCATCTGATCAATGCCAAGTTCCTCTGCCTCTGTGGAGTCATGTCCTTGTTAACTTTTTCAAAATGACAGAGGAATGCTAGATATGTTTTCTCTAGTCTGTGCTGGTACACAAGAAAGGACCTTTGCAATTAGCTTCCACCAAACTTTCTAATCTTATCTCTAGCCACTTCACTCTATAAACCTTGCTTCTAACTCCCTAGGTGTAGGGTAACTAACCATCCCAGTATAACCAGGACTAAGAAGTTATATAGGGCTTCTGTCTTAAAATAAACACAGTCCCAGGCAATTATAGCCATTACTGTGGGATTAAGGGAGTTTGTAGGCTGTGATTGCCAGTGCTACACGCAAGCAAAGTAGGGCAGGTCGATCACCCCACCAAACACTGCAGAGTGTCTCATGATTGCTGTTTTCTTTGTCTGGATTATCTTTTGAGTCCTTCTCTAGAGAACAACCATTTATTCTCCAAGATGCATCCCTCAGGGATGTGACCTGTTTGGCTTAAGCCAGTCCACACATCATACTCCCCAACCCACAGAAGCCGTTCAGACAAAGGTGAGAATCATAAGAAAGTGAGAATCTTAAAACTTGTAGAAAGCTTCTAGAAGGTTCCTCTTGCTATCCTTAGATGTTAGAGTGAGAAATTATAGAGTCTGGAAGGGTTAGCACTATTTTTTAGCCCTAGGCATGGTACCAAGAGTTGGTTCACCTTTTTATTTTTTTGGCTTTTTTTCTGGTCCCGGGAATCAAACTCATGATCTTGTGCTTGCCAGGCAGGCGCTGTGCTGCTGAGCTAAATCCCCAGCCCCGGTACCAAGAGTTGGGAAGAAGTTTTCATGAAGGCTGAACTGACATCCTGCATTAGGTTGCTATTTCTTCTACAGTAAAGTACCATAGACTGGGTGACTTTAATAGTAGAAGTTATTTTCTCACAGTTTTGGAGAAGTATGACACAAATATGTTCACAGAGTTGGTTTCTTTTGAGGCCTTTTGTTGGTTTTAGATGTCTGTCTCCTTCCTGTGTCTCCTCATGGTCTTTCTTCTGTATGTTCCTGTATCCTCTGTATCCTGATGTCTCTTAAAAAGCCAGTAGCCATGTTGGGCTAGCTCTTAGTCTACTAACCTGACTTTAGATTTTCTCTTTAATGATCCTATTCTGAATACAGTTACTGGAGGTGACTAGAATCAGAAATATTTCTGTTTTAGTGATGTAAACTAATAGATTAGCTTTGCTCTTAGACCACCCTGAATGTTTTTTCTATTTTTATATTATCCTTGCCTGACACAGCCCTGTCATTTTTTCTGTAATATGGCACTTTTTCACATAGAGCTATATTATAATGACTTGTTCAGATGTTGACCTACCATACCAGATTGCATATAGACTTCACTAGGAGAGGGCTGTTATTCACATCTCTGTATCTCTACGCCCTTAGATTCTGGCACATAGTAGGTGTGCTGTGTTAATTATGAAATGAATAAAGACTGATTTATTGTTAAGAGCAAGAATCCTGGAAGAGCAAGGCTCCTTTTAATCGTTATTTTATTAACGTTTTTGATTAGTATTTCCTGGGCCATAACCCTAAAACGGCTGCAATTAAATCACTGAGCTCGGATCTCAGCATTATAAAACCACTACAGGGCCCAGAAGACAAGGCACTCAGGACAGCAGAAGTCAGACGCACTGCCAAGGTGATGAAGAATGGGAACAAACAGCAACCATGATTGAATGCCATGTTTTTGGAGATAGTCAATGCACCTTCATTACGTTTTGCATAATAAAAAGAGAGAGAAGAGAAACTTACAATTATCTTCTTTCAATTGTCAAACATGTGTGTAATTTTAGATGCCGAAGTTGAGAACAGTGACGAATAGTATCGTTACAGAACTGGCAGAAAGTCATTCAGTGAAAACATGGAGAAGTGCTCATGAAGATGTATGTTACAGTACATTTTTAAAAAGCTCTTGTTTCATCAGGGGACAAGCTCAGGAAAACCTTATACTTTCCAAGGAAAATGTAGCTCTTCTGGGATTTTGTTTTTTTTTCATCCTGGAGCAGATAAAAGAAGAGTTTTAGCTTTTCCTCTTTCAACTTTCTAGCTCACATGGGTTAAAGATTAATTCCCTAGTGGCATTTCACTGCCATTTCTCATGCTAAGATGTCATGAACTGCTTCCCTCCAATGTAAAAGTTCTCTAAGCAATTACCATCATGTACTTTTCCACTGAAGATACATTTGGATTCCATCCAGGAAACTCTTTTACTATCTATTACAAGGAGCACTTACAACCAGCCCAAACCATTAGCTATTTTAAAAAGTCAGTTCACTCTTATGAAGCTGAACTACATATGTAATGAGATAATTACCCACATTGCAACCAGTTATTCCTTTATTCTTTGTCAGGAGTCAAAGAAGAAGCCAGAAGGCAACTCTGGTGCCCTGAAGAGCCTCTAATATCTAGCACGCAAGTTGGCGTAGTCCTCTGGGGTTTGTAGGTTGGGTTTGGGGAGGATGTAGCTAAACATATCCTTCCAGGATGTGACCCAGGGTCTAGAGAAAAGCGTAGGGAGAAGATGAACCTTTGCTAAGAGAGGGATGCATATGGTGGGACGGGGTTAGCCACCTTTTCCTGAGAACGGACAACTATTGAGGAGAGGAGGGATGTCACTGGGTCAGAGGCACATAATCACAGAAATGGGTACATGTGCATGAAAATAACCATCTCATGATGTTTCATATTATTTTTTCCAATTAAGTTTCCTTTGCGTTTTTTTTCAGAACTCTATATCATGCCTCAAGTGCAGACATGATAAAGTGTTTCAAATTCCCTGCAGAGAAGACATCCTTGAAAGTTTTATTAATTGCCAAGCTGCTTTTGAGGTTTTGTATATTATGAAGTTTCACATATTTTAAGCATCCCTCAAAACTATGTATTTTCCTTTGACATGTCGTATTCTTAGGGCCAAATCAACATCTAATAATAGATGCTATTTTAGATCCGATATCAATAAAGCTAAGCATTCTGTCTGTAGCCCCTTCCTTTCCCTTCACCAAGGACTTTCCATCAAGATCTTTTTCTGTCCATCCAGTCCAGTTCATACATGCTTGCTACATGAATTGCTGTGTACAGCACCAATATTATAACTTCTCTGCCTCCAACGACATATACATATAAAAAAGAAGAAATAACACATACATAATAGGATAAAAACATTACTAAGAAACAGTAAAACAAAGACATTCATCATATTTCTACACCACGACATCACTTCATATACTTAACATGCACCATTAACACAACTCCCAAATATGTTCTAATTTGCTGATAATGACCTTTAATTAGATGAGTTATTGTTCTTGGATTTCCTATTGTTTTTAAGGCAACATTCCCTAATCAGGAAATTGAACACTGCGGGCATGGTCATCAGTACTGATATCCAAAGTGTCTCATCTCTTATTATAAAAATGTCATGTATAAGTGAATACAGAAAATAAATAGTGGTGCCTATAAGCTTATTTGATTTTTGGTAAAATTCTTATTTAAAAGTTCCAATTTATAATAATATGGAGAATTTTATTTTGTAACTTTATTACATGAAATCAGATCAATAAACACACACTCTTCAAAGACAATGTGATTTTGTTGTAATAACCACTCCATGAGGAATGGCTCTGTACAACTATAAATTCTTCTTCAAAAATTATAATCTTTAAAATTTTCTGCTTGATGTTATGAGTATATGCATTTATTTGAGATGGTTGTATATGATTTTCTCATTCATTCATACTATCAAATTCATGACAGGATGACTGTTACAGTTTGTAGCTAGATATCCACCCAAAGCCTCAGACACTCGTAGGTAGAGCTTTTCAGAGGTGGCTGGATCTAGGGTGTGTGATGTAGATTAAGAGCATGATAACTAGATTAGTCCACTGATTGAATTAATATGCATCTGTGTGTGGCTGGATGGATTTACTAAAGACAGAGGCTCCACCCTGAGTGTGAGTGGCACTAACCAATATGTTTTAGCCTGAATGGAATATAAAGGGAAAGAGGGAAAGGAAGGCTGCTACCTTCTGCCTGTCCTGCCATGAACTGTTTCTCCTCTGCCATGCCCTTCACTCATGCTGCTTCGTCTTGGAGCCCACTGACTATGGACTGAAACTTCTATACACTGTGAACTAAAATAAACCTTCCCAGGGCCGGGGATGTAGTTCAGTGGCACAGTACCTGCCTGGCAAGTGCGAGGTCCTGAGTTCAATTCCTGGTACAAGTAAAATAAACCTTTCCTCCTTTTACTTGTGTGTGTTGAGTATTCTGTCCCAGAAACAAGAAAAGTAACTAAGATAATGCCCATACAGATAAAAATATGAATTTATGTGAGTTTCTCTAAAATGAAGTTTATTATTTTACCTTACCATTTTCTCAACGTAGACAAAAGACACAGATTCTTAAGTCAAGCAGTTCATGTACGATTTATAATATTCATCCAAGTAAAATAGAGGTAAGCCATGAGACTGCATCACTAAAGCTTGTCATTCCCCATCCAAGCAACTTTCACCGGGGGAAGATGTGAGCATGTCAGGGGGAGGGTGACCTGTCATCCTGAACCATCTAATCAGAGTGAAGAAGTCCATTAAGTGATTTTGTTAGTTTGAGGCCGTATCCAGCAGTCATTTCAGACACGTTGTTCTGCTGGCTCTGATGCTCTTCAGTGCCCACTTATCCTGGGCATGAAATCATCCACAAACTCTCTTCTTGGCCTCCCCTCAGTTCATCTTCAATCTCAGTTCCAGCCCGGTTACCCAGCAACCCAGGAGCTTTCACACTCAGGCCTAGAACTGGGCTCACGCATCCTGTTTCTTGGTGTTGTTCTTGCTGGCTTTAGCTTCCTGGCTTCTTCACCCTGTCTAGATTTGTTTGCCAAGAATGAACTATGTGGGATATGACAGTAAAATAGACCCTGGATGTGGAATAAAAACCTTAGTCATTAGGATCTGGCTGATAATTATTCTGTGTCATCTTGACAAGTCACATGATCTTGCTAATTTAACTTAGTTGTGACACCTATGAAATTGGTTTTGCCAAATCATAGGACATTCATATGATGGCAATTTTCCCCATCTCTTAAAATAATTTAACTTGTTTCTACTTATTTTGTGACTCTCGCTTGACTTGTATATTTTTATAAGACATGACAATAAGAGTACCTTGAAGTGTTTTGTAAACTATACAGTTTGATGCCATATGTCATTGCTGCCTTGTTTGTCCTCCTTAGCTATCTAGGTCTGTAGGTCGATTCTGTCAGACTCAGTCTTGTTTAGTTTGCTTTCCCCTAATATATGAAAAATTCCATGTAAGTACATGAGCTCATTTTCTCCCTTTAAAATAATTATCTAGCACCTGACACTCCCCTGCTGGGTTCTTTTCTTTAATAAAATATCTTGCTATACAGTCTTAGAAAGGAGGAAGAGTTTTAAAGGAATTTTCTGAATAACAATGTTTTCAGAGAATTTTCTACATAGTTCTTGAATTAGCAGCTTAAATACCATGTGCCCAACTCAATTCCATGCACATTATCGGATGGTGATGGGAAACCTGTGCTCTATTCTTAACTCTGCCTCCAAACTGCGGTGACCTGGGATAAATCATCATGTTCTCTGGACTCCAGTTTCCTCACATGCACAATGAAAAAGTGGCCTTTCAGGTTTCTGCCCACTTCATTATTATTATTATTATTCATTATCAAACATTTTGAACATGAAGATCAAGGTTTCCCAGGCCAAAGTGAGTCCAAACTGTAAATGTGAACAAAGGAATATAAACTAAAAGCTAACTTTTTGGGTCCTTAAAATTTTATTTTTGTCTGCTGAAGGGAGCACCCCATGTCCCTGTCTTTACGGGGGCTCTCCTCTCTTCCCAGACCCAAGTAAAAAAAATAAACAGTGCCTGCCTAGCACCCCCATATTTCATCTTGCCCTCCCTGTTCCTCTTTACTACGTTCTGTTACCGAGAATGGGTAATCCCGTGGAATGAGGTTGCCATTTTGAATCAGTCTTGCTAGGATCTCTCTTCACTACAGATAACATACTGCTTCTCAGGAGTTATCTTTGTTATAGACCCTGGTTACCACATCCAGTGCTGGTGAGGGGTGGGTTATTCCCAGTTTTCACTTAATCTGAAATTACAATTTGATTGGGAATAGCTCCCTAACTCAGGAGTTTTCAATCTTGGCTACCTATTGGAATCACACGAGTAGTTGGGGAATATCCTGATTCTTAAGATCTACTCCAGACCAGTGATGGTGAACCGATACAAAAAGCCTACTGTGACATGTGTGCCATAGGCTTGACACTATTACTCAAGACCCATTACAGCAGAATGGGTGGGAGAAGGGTATGCACATTGTTTGTTTGTTTCAAGTTATAAATCCTTTGATAACCTAAGGATCCTGGTTAAAATTCATTGTTAATTTGACTGGACTGAGACTCCTGGAAAGGTGACTGGATCATGGGGTTATTATACTCACTAGTGGATTAATCCAGTCGTGTTCAAAATGGCGTGTTCTCCTAGGGCAGTTGGAGCCCAGGTGGAGGTGGGTCATTTGGGAAACGTTTCGGGGCTATGTCTCTTTCTGGTGCTCTTCTAACCAGTTCTGCTTCCAAATGCCAAGAACTGGGCAGTTTTTGCCTGCCATACCCCTTTCACATGATTTGCCTCCCTTGCAGCCAGCAGATCAAGAACCAAAATGTCTGACACTGTGAGCAAACATAAACCCTTCCTCATGTAAGTTGTGTATGTCAGGTATTTGGCCACAGTGACAGAAATGGATGCATATGGATCCCTATGTACAGCTAATGTTGAGAATCACTTCCCTACTTAAACCTTCTAAGAATGAAGTGAAGAAATCAGCTGGGAATTCTGACAGGCTAAACGATAGGGAGTCGTTAACCCAGGATAAATAGTTCTGAAAACATCGTGGCCTGGCTGGGGTTCAGGAACAAGGCAGTAGAACAGAAGGAGCTTGGTTCTGAAATAAGGTTCCTGACAAGATGGTTAGGGCAAAAAAAGGGCACTGCAGAGCAGCAGCGTGTGCCCTGTCCACACATTGTGGGTTATTTTTATTTTTTGGCTTTTTTGGCTTTTTTCTGGTACAGGGAATTGAACTCACGACCTTACACTGGCCAGGCAGGCGCTGTGCCGCTGAGCTAAATCCCCAGCCCCAACATTGTGGGTTAAAATCAGAAAGGCAGGCAAGACTTCAAGGGTAAGCAGAAGGTTTGAAGGCCTGAAGTTCAGAACTACATAGGTAGTTTGAAAGGTAAGAGTCAAGCACTCACTGGATTAGGAGTGGGGAAGGAACCAGTCCTTAGGTTATCAAAGGAACCAGATCCTTAGGTTATCAATGGATTTATAACTTGAAACAAACAAACAATGTACATACTTTTCCCCCACCCATATAACAATATTCTTTGCATACTTTATGTTTGTAATCTGCTTTAACTTGCTTTACCTTATTTGATTATAATAGGGAAACCTCTAAGCTAGGTAGTTAGTGCAAGCATAATTACCATGCCCATTTTGTAGTTGAGAAAAGCAAGGCTTAAAGACATGTTTACTAATATTTTAATAATTATTTATATATTGTTTCATTCCCTTTTGCATTGGCAGGGAAGCAAATATAAGAGGTGTGTTCTGTTTTTGTTTTTTGGATTAGTTGTCATGGGGAAAGGAAATTAGGCACATCTAGGTGAAATAATTAACACACAACACAGACTTCTTGGCCCACATGATTCACTTCCTTAAACACGTCTTATGTACTCACCCTTACAGTAAGAGTAGAAAAGATGGGTTCCCCTGCCTGGAAGGGGAAAATGAATTTGGGGACAAAATGCACCCTTCTTTGCAGTAGCCTCCCTAATCCCACGTGATCCTCAAGGCATTTTTTGACTCCAGTTATCCAAGCTTCAGTCAGACCTCTCCTCCCCATCCTCTGCACTTACATCTTCCTTCTAGCTCATTCTGCCTCACACCGCGGGGCTCTGAGCATGTTCCCTTCCCCTGTAGGCAATCACCTCTCCGTATCAGCTTTGTGTCACCACAGTAAAACACGTGGCACAGAGAGATTTACTCGGGCTCATGTTTTTGGAGATTTAAATCCAAGACTGGAAGGCCCCATTGGTTTGGGTTTCTGGTTAGAACATATTGGAGGGAATACTCAAATTTTGAGCCAGGAAACAGACAGACAATGAGCCTGGGGTCAGCAATAATCTTCAGGAACATATTCGTAATGACAGAAGGCTCTTCCACTATCTAACTGTCCACAGTACCCCCCAACACCACCGCCCTGGGAAAGCAGTCCTTTGTGTAAGGGTCTGTGGGGCACATTCACCCAAATCACAGCAGCCCGTCAGCACAGACACCATCTCATCTTCACATCTTCCACACCACCAGGCAAACCATTCAGTCAGTAAATGTATTGACTAAGTGAATGAATGATTATGAATGCATCAGGTGCCAAGTAAAAATTCTTGGACATGAATTCTAAAGAACGTATTGATTTAATCTTTTCAGATGAATACAGAAGTGATATAATCTAATTCACACTGGAAGTCAGTAAAAACATAATTCATGTTTTTTGAATTGACTGTTTAGTTACATCTAATAGGATGAAATAAACATTATCAGATGCACATAGTGGGTACGTGTGCTCTGAAGGAGGAAGTAAATGAGGGGCTGTGACTCTCACTTGGTTTATCCACATGTTTTCCCTTTCACTTTGACCTCACTGGCTTTGTCTAATACTCTCTTGTGCACTGATATAACCAGACAACTGCTACTAGGATTAAGAGGGGTGTGTAAGCACCAATTTAAAAGCAAATGATTAGCCAGGCTTGGTGGCCACACCTGTAATCGCAGCACTAGGCAGGCTGAGGCAGAAGGATCGCCATGAGTTCAAGGCCAGCCTGGGTTATTACACAGTGAATTCAATGAACTACATAGAGAGAGACTGTCTCTAAATAAATAAATAAATAAATAGATACAAACAAATGATTACCCACATGTACTTTAACATATGTCCTCCAGGTAGAGAAAAGGTTCTTCATTGTATGCTTATAACAAAATCCCAGTTTATTAATAGCATATTAAGTAGTTTAAAATATCACAATCATTAAAAATGCTGCTTGTGTAAAGTTAGGTGTCTGGTACCTTTTCAACGCAATGATTTTGTACCAGTAAGGGCTCAAGAACTGTGACATAGGATG